CACCTTGGACACAGACGGCGCGTGCACCCTGGACACGGGCCGCGCGTGCAGCTTGGAAGTGGCGCCCCCCTCGAAGGTGCCAGTTCCCCACGAGTTTCGAAGCCGCCCCGAAGCCCCCCCCAAGCAACGAGTTTCGAAGCCTTGCTGCGACGAGTTTCTAAGCCAGCGCGGGTTGCCAGCCTGCACGCTAAGCCCCCAGAACGCTTCGAAATTGGGGCCTACCCGTTTCTAAGCCGGCGCGGGTTGCCACCCCACCGGTTGCCCCCCCCCACACAGCAAGGATTGCAGTTGAAATTGGCGGCCCCCACCCCCAAGCTGCAACGACAACGGGTTTCTGAGCCGGTGCGGGCTGCCTGCTAAGGCCCAGTGCAACCGGCGCCCTGAACCCCCTAACCCCCCCAAGGCTGCGCGAAAACCAGCTAAAATAGACATGCTTTTTCGCGCTTGCGCGCCAAACTTTTCTTCCATTAATTTTCATACGATTCCTAGTCATTGTCACAGGATTCCTTCGAAACCTCATTAAGCTTAAGAGAAACCTTTGCTATTTTTTATGATCCGTATCATCGGATCATACACTAACTCTTCCCTCGCCCACCTGCTAGCCTCGAATGGTTCCTGTCAAGATTCTTTTAGCGCCTCACAGTCACCCCACAGCCCTCATTCAAGACAAGGGCTCGTATTTTCATACGATTCCTATGAGGCTTGAGAATTTGCTGGTTAATATTGTGAAGAGGATTCGTTTAAGAGGAATGTATTTTAATAGCAACCATACTACTTTCATAATATCGTGAAAGGCAAAGCCGAGTCTTTCTTTTTTTCTTTTCTGCTGTCTTCTATATAGTTTATCTTTCTAGAAGTCTTCTTGCTGTAGGCTTTCTCGAATCTCATCGTTTGTGTTCCTTTGATCTTCGTCCGTGTCTTTTCTGACATGTTGTGAGCAGAGCATACTATTCCCAGGCAAGGCGGAGAAGAGGCCTCCCACAACACGAGAGAGACACGTAAGTATCTTGCCCACATACTGCAACTTGCCCGTTAGCGCATTATGCAAGCTGTCATCAGCAGGTGCGCGATGCTGCTTGGAAACAACTCCTCCTTGGGTATCAGAATCACTCGCTACTGTGTGAGCAGCTGCACAGAGTGAACAAAGCCACTCGTTGGCAGGGATAAACATTGTTAAAGCAAGTAGAACGCAACCCTTGCTAGTCTAGCTTTCGTGAGAATTCGATGAGTTTGTAAAATGGACTCTGTTTGATAGGGCTCCCATTCGTTTCAGAAGGATTGGTATTCACTTTAAGAGAAAATTGTTATTGGATTCTGAGTAAGATTCCTATTGATATTCAAGGGATTCATACGAATGTTTGTGAGATTCATGCCAGTTTCATAGAACTCCGATCTGGTAAAGATGGAACCCAGTCATCTTGATGGAATCCATATTAATGTCGAGATGTTCGCAACAAACCCTCGAACATGTAGAGCTTTCGCATCCAGAGCCAAACTCGAAAATTCGAGGCGCGCCATAAAAGAAGAGGGGGTTTGGTTAGCAAAGAGGAAGAGAGCCAAAGCTTCTGGTGGACACTGGGACACAGCGGATTTGCAGTCCTTGGAAGCCCGCTTCTGCCATCTGGCTCAGTGCCTCTTTTCTGGTTCTCAAAGAAGGCGCATGGACATTCTTAGGCATTGACAGCTCTTTAGCGAAGGCTTCAACAGTTGTGGGCTTGGGAACTGCGATGGCTCGACGGTAGCCTTGGATACACAGGACTGATGTTTGACCATTGTATCCAGTTTCCTGAGGCTTCAAGCAGCGGAACCGGCCTCCGCCAAGTCTGCCAACTCTGCAAGGCTCCGCGAGCGCAATGATAGCAGCTGCGCGAGGCGAATCCTGGGAAGGCAGCAGCAATCCAAACATCCACGCAAACATGAACCGGTCCTAAGCCGTAGGCTAGTGTCGCTCAAACGCAGCCCCAAATCCTACACATCCCAACGCTAAAGAGCCCCCACATTAAAGTCATTGAAGCCTTGAGCCCCCGGACCCTGCAAGAGGTTTGGCCTTCCCAAGCCTACGAAAGTCTACGACAAAAACGCCAACAAAAACGTCAACATTAATCAAGACCGTCGAGGACTCAGGCGACCCGGTCTGATGCCTCGGCCTCTGCAGCGGTGCCGCGAAGCGGCGCCACAGCGGCCAGGTGCCACGGAGGAAGTGGAGGAGCCTTTTGGGAGGGTTTAGGGTTTAGAGGGTTTAGGGAGGCTTCGTCGGTTCAGGTTTTTTCTCAAAGTGTGAGCTGTAAGATGGTGATGACCGATGATGACCGATTACAGCTGATTCTGATTATGACCAATGCAAGATTCGCTTCACGAAAGGTTCGGACATTTCACCATCGTTGCTTCAAAAAGTCCTTGAGGGCGATCTGAAGAGTTGGGTTGAATTGGGTTGGGGTGGGGGGTCTCATCATGGTTTTAGAGGTTGACAACAGTCGCAGGTGGATGCGGTGGGTTTATGTGGCCCAAAAGATTTGAGCTTTGAGTCTTGGCGGCTTGCATTAATTTTCACCTTCAAGGACTTAGATGGACTTGGTATCGGAGACATTCGGAGACCCGTGACTAGTGCAAAGTCAAGTCCTACGCACAGGAAAATAAAAGGTCTGCGTCGGATGGGCGGCCATAACATCCATTCCAACTCCCCGCCTTCAACCCCCGGCAGTGCTGCTGCCCAAAAATCCCAAAACCCTGACACCCTCATCCTTCGAGATGCCACTCTGACAGGGCACGGGCACACTGAGGGCAAGGAGTTTCCAATCTCCGGGAGCCCCAGAAAGCCAAGCGTGTGCCTCGAAGGCAGCTGGGGGGTAATGCCCATCCGGGCCTGACAACGGGAAATTTGTGCCTCGGGGTGGTGGATTAGAGCTTTGAGGCTGTTAGCTGGAGTGTGTAGTATTGGGCCTGGCAATACATGCCAAAGGTCTGAGGGCGTCATTGGCAGCAAGCAAAGGGCCAGGGTAGTATGGAATGAAGCGCAAAACCCAGCTGTGGTGGTGCCAAGCCCAGAAAGGAAGTCGATTTCGGCTAGCCGTCACAAATGCCTCTAGCAAACCGGGCCCAGAACTCAATCGGGCACCATCAAAACTAAACAACCTTTGACTCAACTGCCGGGAAGGGCTGTAATTGTTGTGAAGTGAACATTGGGACTTCACCATCCCCTTCCACACATTTGACTAACCATATCATCCTCGCAAGCAGCCCTCGCGTCACCATCATCTCGGGAGACCGAATGGCCGTTAAGCATGGAAGCTGGCGGAAGCTTTGAGGTAAGCAGCTTTGCACCAACAAAGGTTCATGTGCAAAAAAGCCAGGAAATGCATGAATGTTGTGCAGGTGAGGTCAATGCGTAGACACAAAGTGACAAAAAGTGCCCTTGAGGATATTGAGTTTCTTTCTCAACTTGTGATTTCTTGGGCCTTGCAGAAAGCTTCTTCAGCGGAGACTAAAGATGCATTGGAAGCCAAAGCCACAGTAGAGTAACATCATCCAAGGAGAACCTGAGCGCGGCGATTCAGGAAAAACAGAGAGACCGTAAGTTTGTGTAAAATCCCACCAGAGCCTACATGCTGAAAGCAACCTGAAGCAAACTAGTCCGTGGCAAGTTGTCAAGGAGTTAATTCGGCTTGGCTTTGGGTGTAGCATTGGTTTTGGCGTTGGCTTTCGAATACCTCTGGGCTTTGGGCGTTGGGCGTTGGGCGTTGGGCTTTAGGCTTTGGGCATTTTTGGGGTGCGCTGGCTTGGGCTCACTGACTTTGGTAGGGCTTTGACTTCGGCCTGATGCACAGCATTCATTCAAGCGGCAGCTTGGAGGCACCTGCATTCTCCGGTCGCGCTGCTTCCACGAGTGGATCCAGGCCACCTGCAGTCATGGATTCGCGCCGAACAGAGGCTGTACGGATACACTACCCCGAGAGGAACCCGTCACTCTCACACGATGTATTGCTGGCAGTGAACCATACATTCACCTGAGCTGAAATTACTCCTTTGCATGGATCTTTTCCAAGGGAGCATCAAACGCGAAAGCTCAACACCCTCGAAACTGCATCGTCAAAACCCCAGCGTACGGAGAAGAAACCCTCTTCTGCCACCAACTTGGGCAGAAGCAAATGAATGAACCAACCCACCTTGACCGCATTGACGACAACCTCGCATGAAAATCCAGAGGGAAAGCCTCTGAAAGCCCCCCTGAGCTCCGTGCTGAGTGCAGGCACGACGGGACTTCTCGACTCGACCTGGGCCTGGTGCAAGCGACCAAAGCAACATAAAAGCTACAACAAATACAAGCAAAAGAACATGCAAGCCACACACCACCATGCCTAAACATCACGCAAGTGCCTCACCCTGATTGCAGGGCTCGGGAAGGTCGTCGTAGAGGCCCGCCATGGATTTCGGGGTTCGAGGCTTTGTTACATGTCACGGGGTCTGCTTGGGACTTGGGTCCCTGAGCCATGGGCCCAAACGCTTAAACAACGAAGTCTCGGTGGGTTGTTGTGCAGTGGTGCGGCTCTGAGAGAGACCCCAAACCGTGAAGCGGAGTTAGTTAGGTGAAGCAGATTGAGTCTGTCGGCTCACAAGTGTGCTTATCTGAACGACTGCACAGAATCGCTAAGTGCGCGGTGGGGTGGTACCGCGGTGCCGTGACGACGTGGTGCAATTGTCTGTGTGCGCACACGCTGGTGTGCTGGTGAAACAGGCCCCTCAGATCAGACGGGCTGCGTGCACACAAACCAGACATAAAACACCACATTTCGCTTAAACATGTCCCGTGTAGCAATTTCTTGATCACCGTTAAACGGGAAACCTGAAGCGCCGGAGTCCTCAAGATCTATCAGTCAAGGCTGCCAATCTTTCGTAATAAGGGATCCTGTGGGAGAGAAGAACGAATATGAAGACGCACCATGTTGCTCTAGCACTTCCACTTGAAGCCATGATTTGCCACTTGGCGATGCTGGGGTTGGGTCCCAAATATCCCAGCATGGGCTTGTCCAGGAGCTTCTGCATGAGGGCACACCTGCAGAGGCTTGGTACGTTTGTCTGAGTGCGTAATATGGTGCAACGGTTTGGCTGCGAATCGCCAAAACGCAAACCCCGAGCGCCGCAGTTCTGATGCCCTAAACCTAGATCTAGAATCTTCAGACCATAAAAATTCTACGGAACAGGCGGGACCTTCTTAAGAACAGGACGGCAACGAAACCATTATGATGACGGGCCAGGACTCCTTGGAGCAAGAGCATGAGCTTCGGGTACGTTCCGGCTCGCGGTGTCATTTTGCATCTCTGCTGGTTGGCATTCCACATGCTTATGTGCACGTGCTCTGGCACAAATGTCTTGCCACTGGCTTGGCTTTGGGTGGAACAGGGCAACCACACCCTCGTCCGCTAATCACACGCTGGTAAACAGTGAAAGTTGGCACAAATCCCTCCAGCGTTCTTTTCATTCCCATCTCTCTTGCTTATGTCAAAACTTGTTTTCTATGCAGTTTGTTTCTTTAATGTCGTACTTCCTGTCGTTCCGCGGTTTTTGTGCCTTGCGAAGCGAAGTTAATCCGAAAGAAACACAACCACCCTGCTTCTTGCCAATACTGACTTATTCTTTCAACGCAGAAGGACTCCGGCGGACCATTACCAATCGTGTAGAGGCCCCCCCCTTCTCAAAAAAAATCTTCTCAAAACACTGCGGAACCGCAGACTCGTACAAGCAAAGCTGTTCCTTCACACCAAGCGTCTTCGGGCGACCCCACTCTGTCGGGGTAACTTCGGACACTTGTGCATACTTGTGCCACTGCAGACACTACGCAACAGCACCGGTTCCTCGGTTCCTCGGTTCCTCACGCCATGCAGTCCTCAGGAGTCCTCAGGCCACCCCAGAACCTCCGGTGGGGATTTCTCGGCAGCCTCTGGAAAAACACGTAGCCGTGGCCGCATGGCCCGCGCCACTTGAAACTTGAAACAAGTGGCCCACACTGGGCACTGCAGCTGCTCGAAAGACCACTTTCCAGAAGTCCTCTGGTGAGGAAGTTCCGGCCACCAACCAAAGACCAAACAACAACAACAACAACAACAACAACAACAACAACAACAACAACAACAACAACAACAACAACAACAACAACAACAACAACAACAACAACAACAAAACAACAACAAAAACAACAACAACAACAACAACAACAACAACAACAACAACAACAACAACAACAACAACAACAACAACAACAACAACAACAACAACAACAACAACAACAACAACAACAACAACAACAACAACAAACAACAACAACAACAACAACAACAACAACAACAACAACAACAACAACAACAACAACAACAACAACAACAACAACAACAACAACAACAACAACAACAACAACAACAACTAACCCGAGACCGCACACGCCAGTCTCATGGAGCGATGCAATCAACTCGCGCTTGTCTTGGTCCAGCGACAAGACGAAACCTACACGACACTCAAGGCAGAATGCAAAGAGTGACTGAAGGGAAGTTTGGTCGCCCCAGAAAGGCATCAAAAATGCATCCCGCACGTGAGCATGCTATTGCTTCGCAAACCAGTAGACCAAATATACTGACAGGAGTCTGTGGAACCCTAAAACATGGCAAATAAGGCGATATGGACTTGCAGGGACTTACCAACCAAACTCCTCTACCAATAACAACGCAAGACACAAGAACACAAGTCTTGCCGGCGTAGACTCCAAACCAGACACTCCAGGAGTCCAAGAGCACTCTAAGATGAACCCCAAAAGCATTCCCACATTAGTCCAGGATCTCCAAGACCTTTGCAAGTGGCCAAAAGGACGGTTCTGCAATTGACGCGGAGGATGTGCAGCGAGAGCGCCAGACACGACGCCAGAAACGAACCCATCCAACAACCCAAAACGATCCAAAACGCACCGACATTCTCGCGACACAGCAAAGCTAAACGATGAAACCAGATTTCGGAAGCCAAAACTCCAAAAACGCATGCGGTAGGAGCGCGATTTTCACCTAAAGCGTGTGCCGCACCTAGGCCCTACTCTGGCTAGACCCCAATGACTTCAGGTTGGGGAAGAAGCTTGCAAAGAGGCACACGTCACTACCTCAAACCCTAACTGCAAGCCCTCTGTGGCCACGAATGTCGTGTTTAGCCCATTCAGGAGACTGCGGTGCCAGGCCCCGGACACCACGAAGGGACTCGTGCAGACGAGAGTATCAATTCTCAAGGAGGCCAGGAGCTGTGCAGCAATGACCTGGAGCTGAGAAGCGATTAGTGTATCAGAGTTCCCCTCACACAACAAATACATCCAGAAACGACAGGTGGCGAAGGCCCTGGTCAATCAACCTACATGTTCCTCCAGAAGTACAGGTTACCAGTACGAACAATACTTTCACGTTGTGTCTTCTAGCTTAAACAAAAAAGCTTTTGAACCGACACCGAAAAACTCGAACAGAAGTACACACACACAGGGCAAACACGATATATCAATATAATCGCCCTAAATTATGCAATTTCCTGGCACTGCTTTCGAATGGGGCATGCTAGGAGGACTTTGTGGTTTGCTGCGTTGGGATATCTAAGTGTGGGCACGACCGTTCGCTTGAAAGTGGGCACTCCAAGGATAAAGATTCTCTGCACTCCGCGGGATCCACTTCAGGGCTCACTCTCGGGATTCCTTGATGGTGGGCACCAGAGACACTGTGGGGAATTCCGAACGGAATTCTGTAGGGGGGCTGCGAAACACAATGAAGATGCCTCATGTCGCTGAGCTATCGATGAGTTTGCCCCATCGCGCCGCAAAAACAAAGGTTCTCTGCATTTGTTTCTGTGTTTTGCTTTGTTTTTGCTCGGTCCACCCTGCAATACCCTGTTCAGTCCTGTTCCCCACCCCAAAAATGAACGACAAGGAAATACAGATTGAGGCCGAGACCAGGTACGACACAAGCCATGCAAGGTAGAGTCAGAAAGCACCACAATTTTTGACTAGACTTTGTCACTCCACTGCAAAGGCCTTGAGTACTACACTTGCCGACGCTCGGCTGACATGTTAAATACTTCGGAGACCCAACACTAACACTAGCACTAGCACTAACACTAACACTAACACTAACACTAACACCAGCACTAACACCAACACCAACACCGACATTAACACTAACACTAACACTAACACTAACACACCGAAAAAATAGTACAAATAGTAAGATTAACCATTTTGGGTTTGTACGAAAACGGGCTTGGTACCCAGTTGCGTCCCACAACTGCAAAGCTGAATCTTGACTCCCAGATTGTTCCCCTATTCCCCCAATCGCCACGCAAGGAGCCACGATGTAGCCCAAGGCCCCAACAGAGACAGTCTCTGAGATGACCTGGAAAGTGTAACCTGCCAGGGCTCGCTCGATCAGTTCATCTCCAAACCACAACGTCCAAACTTCAAAGCAGCTGGGCCCAGCGAAGAAGTCTCGGGCCCTGAAGAAGCTAAAATGCCAACTCGTGCCAGTCGCACGCTCGTAGGGGGGCGGCGACTCAAAACGCCCGATGAGAGAAGCCAGTGGATCCTCTGGATGCAAACTGAAGATTTCGGATCTGACTTGGACGAGACATGGCCAGAGATGAGTGGAATGACTGGTGATGGCTAGCGATGGCCTACAGACTTCAGAGTGAATTAAACTCGATTCGAAGCCCGAAGTAAGGTACAGTCAACAAATTTGAGGGACTGTGTTGCACAGCTCTTCGTGAGTTCTGTCGGATTGGCTGCTTCTTTGTTTGTTGAGCTCGTGTGGACATCATATGTCGATGCTTAGGCTCATCTATGTCCCAAGCTCCTAGACCTTCGGCTCCGATAAGAAAACCTGAGATCTCACATCCAGCCTTGCCTCGCTGGAAAACATATGTGGGTCTTTATTCCTGAATGGAAAGTCTTTTTGCCGAGGCTTGCATGCAAAAGTTGAGCTCTCACCTCACCAATCCGTGTGGGTAGTATACATCTCGTACCACATGAGCCCCTGACAAATTACCTATACCCCTAAGGACGCAAGCTTCACTTCAACTAGGATCCGTGGAATTACCATAGGCATCCGGGGCTCACATGATAGCGAGGCAAGGGACTGCCGAATCTCGGCCCCCAGTCCACACAATTTACATTTTCTGCTCGCGCCACCTTTCTTTTGTGGCAATCCGACTCCGAATGATACCCTCTTGGCAAACGTCTAACACCTGGAAGATGGCGACACTCTGGCATGAGAGCAAGTAGCAATGGCTCAAGGCTCAAGAAGGCACGCGACAAGACGCGACATGACACGACATTTTCAAAAGCAGAAGTTCAGCAGAAGGCTCCCACACCTCAGGACATTTCTATTTTCTGACATGTCTGACAGTACCATCACTGAATTGATGGCAAGTACGCCGAAACAAAACAAGCAAGCAATGATCAGCTCACCAGTCGTCGAGCAAGAACAAGAGTGGATGACATGGAAGTTTACATGCTTGGGAAGAGGGAAGTGGCAATAAACAATCAATAATCTAGAAATTTCGGCGGACCTCCCAGCGTGCTGCGAGGTTGAACAATCCAGCATTTACTCTGGACGGGGGTGCGCTATCGTCGTTAGACTGAACCAATTACGCCGTGAACACTCTGGCCATTAGGAGCACGGGCTGGTTTCCCCCGGCCGGTGGCCCTTGGCACTATCGGAGCTCCCAAGCCCAAGGACATGTAGATGTTAACCTACCCATCTCCAAAATCAAGAATCAAATCTTGAGCTCTGAACATGGGTTTGTCTCTACCTAGACACAAGAGACGAGCAACACAGCAACTTGACACTCCATAATCTCCAGACGCGCTAACTGACCTGTGCCTAGATGCGCCCTGATGCGGATGCTCCTCCAGGCTTTCCTCGCCATCTCCACAAACGTCTGGGAAGACCTGGATGATCGAGATGTTTCTAAACATACGATGCCTAGCCGGCCTTACTTTCCAATAAACGATTTTCTAACAACTGGACTAGGGCTTTGATCTCACGCACCAAAAACTTCTCTTTGTACCTGTCTGTGTGTGTGTGTGTGCGTGTATGCATGTATGTGTATGCATGTATGTATGTATGTATGTATGCATGCATGCATGTATGTATGCATGCATGCATGTATGTGTGTGTGTATGCACGTATGTATGTATGTATGGTATGGTATGGTATGGTATGGTATGGTATGGTATGGTATGGTATGGTATGGTATGGTATGGTATGGTATGGTATGGTATGGTATGGTATGGTATGTATGTATGTACGTATGTATGAGTGGTGTACCGTTCATGAATGGGTCTGTGTAGGAGTGTCTGGGCACATTTGGGACACCACTAGCAGAGCACGTTCAACAGAGTTGCCCAAAAGAACCGAAAGAAGATCAATGCAAGGGGCTCCAAGCCTATTCAAAGCCTCTCACGACTGGCGCCAACGAGGACTCTGGGTGGGCAGGCGTGCAAACGTACGAGTACCTGCGGCCCTTGTGCCAACAACTGCGAGCAGTTACGTAGTGCACATGCAGCGGCGTCTCGCGCAGCATCCGTCGGTGAGCAGGTCTATGTGCCGTGCTTTTCTACCTAGAAGCATTCTCTTCTACCTCCCCTTTCATGCCCTTCTTCTCCTCCTGCGCGTTGGACTCCAGCAATGGTGACCACAGTTCACCAAAACCTATAAACAACTCTTAACACCGGGCCGGCTTCGTGGTCCAACACGATTGCTCTTACAATTAGAACAAAATCATGTGATTTCACTGAAGCTCCAAAGCTCGACACTTCAGCGGGGAGGGTGCCACACTCTACTCAAAAATGAACGCCGAAATCCCGCGGACTTCGTGCGCCAAGGTGCCGCACATTTGTACGTGATACCAAGCATGCGGCGTACCTGCTCAGGAAGCAGAACCTACCCCACACGATCACAAAGAGCTGGAGCTGGGTGCCAACACTTGCAGAAAAAAAAGAGAGCTGAACAAACAACACAAGGCCGCGAATCGGATTTGACCGGAAATCTTGTGGATACCCAAAAGGGAAACCAATTGGAAAAACCAAACCCAAAAACACTCCAGCCGCAGAGGCATGCATTGGACACTTCGAAGGGATGGCCCCGGCCCATGTTCGAAGCGGAAGGCTTAGAACTCTTGGAAGGCTCGGAAGGCTCGCAGATGCCCATGCAACATAACCAACAACACCCGGCAAAGTGCACAACGGCCTTGACAGCGGCACCGAAAGCAAAGTCTCGCAGCATTGTCACTGCCTCTCTTGCTAGTTGGCACCTTATGTTTTTGATGTGAAGCATCCGGAACCCCAAAAACCTAGAAGCAATTCCTTGGTGCGCGGAGTATAGAAGGTGTGCGTACCAAGTATTATCAGCGACTCGGTAAGTGCACACGTTCGAACAAGTGCACACAAGTCATGCGATGTGTTTTCATGTGTAAGAGTACTAAATACTGTAAAGCAAGCCCCGTACTGAGGCAGCTTCATGCAACTGAAGTTTTGGAAAGGTGCGTAAAGCTTTTGCTCGAGACGTCTTGCTTTCTTGTTTTACTTGCGGCTTGGCTTGTGCCGTGTCTTGGTTAATCTATGGCATCGGTGAAAGCGATTTTGGCTTTGACCGGCATTTCGACCACACACACACACACTCCTTCTTGCATGATATTGGCAAGCCTTTAGCCCAATACCCAATCTGGCTCGATGACGGTGCGTGGGGTTCAGATCAGACAGTTCAAGAGGCCATAGGCATTACTCCTGCATATGCAACTTGCCCGAAACTGGACAGGTCTCACCACCGCTCCTCCAGAGTCAGCGTCGGGTGTGTACCCAAGGCCAGGAGGCCAACCTCTCCGCGGGAGTGTTTGATTCTGGGCTAAACGGTTAGACACAGAAGGAGGGTCCTCTTAGCAAGGAGAGATGCCAATGGGAGACAAGGGCAACTAGAGGGCAAGGCAGAATGCGTTATCCTCCGTTGAAGATTTGCTGTGCGAAGATTGAAAACAAGACTGCAGAGAACTGAGTCATGCTGGAAAACTCTGTTGACAACTCAGAAACTGCTCTGCAAGTTCTGAAGTGTTATTGACCCTGGCAGGACTCAAAGCTCTGTTTCGCACTGAAACCTTACAGCTAAAGCGCTCAAACAGGAGATCGGGTGCACCAACCCGGGATCTGCCCCATCCCTAACCGGTCCAAAGCGACCCCTGGGTCATGTAGACCCTCCGGCTTGCCATCCCAGTTCTGCTCTTCCCAAAACGGGAGCAAACGGCCGCCCACGCAGGGTCACATGCTTCTCTCAGCGTCGCCTTTCAAAGCCACTCGTCTTCTGTCAACTGTGGAAGAAGTACTGCAAAAATTATTTGGAACCTGCCCTCTCTGAAACGGAAACAGGTTATCATTTGAGGACACGGGGTGGTTTCGATCACTCCAGCTTTGCTGCACCTGAAAGCCCCAACATCTGATGTGTGAACTTCCGACTACCTTGCAAGAATGGTCTCAGCAAAGTAGCCTCGGCGCACTGCGGACTCTGGGAGAGGTGCCTCAGCTAGAAGGGACAAGATTTTGCAACGTTGTTGTTGCTGCTATGGCTTCAGGTTCGCCTGTGACAAAGACTCACAATACGCAACTTGTGAAACTTGAGTATCATCCGGACCTTTCGGAACAGGCCGGAAAACTCCTGGCTAACTCCTGCCAAGTCTAGCCAGAAGGCCGTGACATCTCTGCCGCGGGCAAGACCTGCCGGGCTTGCTCACAAGCCGCAAACGTTTGAGGCTTTTACAATATGCCACTCTGTTTGGTCGAACTGTCAGCATTTGACCTTCCAGTCTCCGAAACAGGCGATACCCAACAAAAACAAAAAACTATCCTAACACTCGCCGAAGCATTACCCGAAACAAACAATTGGCTGAAACAAACGCTGGATAGATTGGTCTGCAGGGCGTGCCGCCAGCGAGGAGCCAGGGGGTGGCGGCCGTACCGGTGGTGGCGGATCTAGAGTGGGGTTGGTTGCCCGGGGCAAGTATTGCTTTGCATTGCAGGAGGGGTCCATGAACCTAGGCTGCACAGATTTGCGGGAAGCATAAAAGTGGACATTTGCGATGAATTTGACACGCTGAGCCGTTTGCACAAGTGAGCAAAACAAACCACAAGTACGTGATTCAATGACATGATTAGCCGGCACTGGACATTCTGGATTGAGGTTTTTCTATGGGTGAAGAAGCTTGAGGCACATGCCGGTGCGCTATCGTCTGGGACGGTTGGGAGGTGCGGTGTGGTGCGCAAGCGACACGGAAGTGTTAAAGACCCACGACACATTCAACAAGGAACCTGCATTCCCAATGAGTCGAATCCAATCACCAGAACGGTGCCAAGATGTTCCAAGTCTGTCTCACACCTTGTTGGTTCCCCCTCAACCCAGAAAAGCTGGCCGAGGAACCACTGCGGGGCGCCAACTCAAAAGGTAGGGACTCCGAGCGGTTCACGTTGAAGAGAATCTCAGGAGGCTGCATTTTTTACTTTGCCCGCTCCACTGCATACCTGGACGACTTAAACTCATCCTTCCATTGCATGGAGCTGAATCTCTACATAGTTCAGCTGGTCCGTAGCCAGCATCTTAAGGCTGGGTGAACGCTGATTAGGCAGGAGATGGTCAGGAGCCTGGCTTCGGGGCCAGGCTGCACAGTGCTTCTCACTGCCCCTACGTTAAGATGCAGTGGACAGAGACAGGATAGCACGTGAGAAGGCGAGAAGCCAGGACTCTCCACGTGAACCAGCAATATCTCTTGGTGCTAAACCATGCAACACATGAATGGGACTCAGAAGACATAGTGACATGCCAGCCCATTCTCGAACGAAACCGCGTTGCCCCATACCCACAAGCCCCCAGCTTGATTTGTATACATATAAACAGACAATGCCCATCAGAGGTGCTTCCTGCCCTGGTCTTTGGTGGCCCGGCATCGTTGGCACGAAGGGGCCATTGACTCGACTCTTGGAAGTCCAGGCAGAACTGCAGGCCTAGGCGGAGTCTGAAAAATGTGACACCTTCTGGAGGAGCCTCAAGGCAGCTTAGGCTCAGGCAAAAAACACGACCCTCAACCCTCAAGCCATCTCAAGCCATCTCAAGCTCTCCAGCTGCTTGTGCCTCGTTCGCCGCGCAACCAAGTCATTAAAACTGTATGAACTTCGGACAATTCATGAAATTGAGGTCTCTGTTGCACCGTTGCACCACAACAACCTCACATGCCAGCTGTCCAGTCCGTATTCATCGACATGGGGACGCAGCCCAACAACGAACTGGCCATCATCAAGTACCTGACGCCAGGCTTCAAGGCATGTTTGTAAAGGACGATTCGATGTCGGTGAATCCCCCACAACTCAAGCGGTGCAATGCCATTCGACTGGACTACTAACCTAAAACTCACCGTGGGGACCACAACTGCTGCAAGCTCCGACAAGCTATGTCAAGGTTTCACGAGCTATTTGCAAGTCGCGTTTGAGGAACAAATCTCCCGGATCACTTGCTACTTGTTTCGGAATGTTGAACTGATCTGAAGAATCCAACACTGGAACTGCACGAACACTCACAATCGGCACAAAGGCGAGCGTAAAGCTTTCAAGGGTGGCCTGGTCCAAGGCACAGCAGAAGCCCCTGACATTGCAAATGCTGAACTCCAACCAAAAAACGATTCCCAAAAAGCCACGTGCATCCGTCTGAGGGTGCTGTTCGGCGCACTCTTGTGCCTGCTTCGGCTTGGGTTCCATGCGAATCCCGGCAATGCCGCTGTGGATTCCTGACAACATTGTGTCAAAGCAGAAATTTCCTGCCAGAAAAGCCATTTTTTAAGATGGCAACAAGCACACTGTTGCGAAACCATCTGTCAGCAGCCCATCCTGGATGTGACTTTCGCACAACACAAACACAAACACAACGAGCCACAGTACTTGAACTTATGGCATGGGCGTTTGTGATGGGTTTTCATGAACCCTTTCTCAAGCAAATGACCAAAACAGAAAGAACCACAAGCTTCAAAAGCCTTTGACACACCGGGGGATGTTCGTGAGGACTTCGCGGGATTTCCAGCGCTTCTGGACAGCTGCAACATTCAAGCTATTAGATCGAAATCTCTTCATTGGGAAACACATGGCTGCAGAGGAAAAGTATTGTTGGTGATGTCTACGTGCAGGTAGTCGTCGTCATCATGCAAAAGTGATCATGTTGTCAGGAGTCCTCATTTCATGGTGCTGAGAGCCGCGGATGTACTCAATGAAAAAGGGTCTTGCTGCCTTCGTGCCAGAGCCCCCAAGAAAAGGCTAAAGAGGAGAACCTAAGGCCCAAGACCTAGAAAGCGAAGGGCACGTGGCTCTATGGCAAAAAGGGAGACACATGGCAATTCATTTGTGAAGGGTGTCTTCCCACCGTGAGAATAAAACGGCAAAGCGGGGAAAACGGAAAAGAAAACACCAGGAGCACAGCTCACGGAGCAAAGGAAACACTCATGGAATAGACGAAACACCTAAGCTCGCAGGATGTCACGGAGGAAAGGGGTGCACAAACACAATAGAAGGATTATTTGATGACTTCAAAGTTTTAGAGCGCTTCGAATGTAATACCGATACCATCGTGATGGTCTCTTAAACCAGTTGTGCAGGCCTCAATCCGTTACCAGATCCTCGATGCTCAAAAAAGGCTACACCCTAGTCGACCCCTGTCCTGCAGCCGACACGAAGAGGGCAGCAACAGCTCCGTACAGGCAAGCACTGCTGCCGCCGCCGGAGCAGAGATCCTCGCTGAAGCTTCCACAGGATGGGGGTGGAGAGGATTTCATCTCAGCAGTATGAGGATTTGATGTGATCAGAGCATGCACTTGAGATATCCAGTAAGGAGGAGGACTTCCTCAGTGGAAAATGCACTCCAGTCCAAATGAATCACATAATATCCAACAGCTGGTAGCTGGTGACATCTGGGAACTGCACCTTCGAAAGGTACTTACACCCTGGACGATCACCTCACTGGGTAAAAAACTGAGCGTGCGGTGCTACATAAGTTCCACGAAAGACTGGGCCGGCGCCTGAGACGACATGGTGGGACCCTAAACCCGTGCTTTAGCCAAGACATATAATGATATAACGCTGCGCTTCATCGTGAAAGCTCCATCGCCTCGCCTCATAAAAGAGCTGCGCACTCCGCATCAAAGCCCCATCAACGGCCTGCAGCCAGCAACTTGTCGACTCAGCATTGTAATCTCTATTCAGAGCATTCAGGTTTACACAAGAACAAAACGGCCGCAAAGACACATCCAAAGCCTTTGAGCGTGCCTTGGTGGAAAAAAAACATTTCAACCACACCCTTCCTTGACAAGTTGACGGCTTTACTGTGGTCCCAGAACCCACCTCGAGCTGTTGCACAAGGGCTTGAGCATCTTCCACCAACTGCAATTCCAGCCTTTGGGTTTTGCAATTCCATGTCATGTAAACATCATGTAAACCCTGAGTTCATGCTCAAGGCGCTCAAGGCAGGTCCAAAGCTTCGGAGGATGCTTTTTTGCTGAGGCCTCTTTACCACATCGGCTCAAAGCTTCTGACATTGCCGAGGAAACATGCACCACCGTGTTTAGGGGAAACAGGTCGAGTCCAATAGCAATAGCTTTCATCCATGAAGTGCAAGTCTCATCCACGCAGCGTCTTGCACCGAAACACTAATATGCCAGGGCCCTGGCTTTAATCTTCCCCCTGAGGTGGCGGAAACGAGGGACCTTTTCCAGGCTTCACATCTGCTGGGATGAGTGTTGGCCTTGTGCTATGTGAAAAATGGGCAACCATCAAGCACATACCCACTCATCCGATCTCAAACTCCAACCCAACCTCGGTGAACGCGTACGTCCACTCCCACTGCCTCAAACCCGCATCCAACCGGCGAGCCTCTGGAAGGAGGCCCTTGGTCCAGCACCAAAACTGCTAAGCGAAAATTGTGTGGATTCGGATGCAGTCCTGAGCAAATATGAACATACATTGAATAAAAACCTTACTATCCGAGTCTGACCCTTGCACGTGCAACACTGGCCATCGAACGCCCAAAATTTGACAGCTCACTGTATGTGATACCCGTATGACAATTTGAGAGCCACCCCGCTTGCAGCCGCCTTTCCGTCGGGTCAATCTTCGCACATGAATTTGGAAGCACGTCCAAATGCGCCAACGCCCTAACCATAATCCTGATGCTAGAATTCCTGTTCATATAAGCCCGTCACCACGCAGAATCATCCGAGCAGTCGAAGAGACCTGAAGCGGACCGTTTCAGAAAACGCATAAGCCAAACCACATGCTCATCCCTACCCCAAGTGACTCGTCAATCACAAATTGTGTGGCAAACCTGGTCTCCATTCTATGCAGGTTTTACCACGAAAAAGCAGACAAACGTGTCCCTGACCGAACAAGCAAGAATAACTCTGCTGACTAGTTTTCGTCGTCTCTGCAACAGTCCAAAATCATGGCAACGAAGTGTTCGAAGATTCGAACGTTTGAGGTTGAGTGGGCGGCAAACCATCAATGCAACAGCACTTAGTGCTCCAGCGTGAGGTTGTCGATGCCCCAACAGCCGTCGCAACCACAAGAAGCACCCAGGACATGGCACATGCTGGAAAAGGAGTCTGTGGAACAGAACCACAATTAGAATTCGGGATTTGCTGCCGGTTGCGGCTCTGCGACAAAAAACGAAAACATGATGTTTCATGCGCAACTTTATGTTTGACGCCATGAGCCATCCACAGTCCATGACTAGCGGCTACGGTTTTCTAAAAAGTTCTTGAATACAATGGCGGCGTGGTCCATGGCTTTGAGAAAGTTGTCATTGAAAATCACGAGATCAAGGTTCAAAAACTATGCTCAAACATGGTCGGCGGACCTGGCAACGATTTCTTCGTTCAAGCAACTCACAATAAGGAGGAAAAGTTTGTCGACTGCACATTGAATTGTCGCATCATTCACCAACGCCAACTTAGTGTGGCAGCTGTGGCAGTCGTTGATATGCTTGTCAATACGTACACCCCCCTCCCTCCATGGTTGTTCATGTAGGGGTGAAGGGACTTGGGATTCCAAACTCCACGTTCCAAACTATCCGGAGCGCACGGAGTCAGGCTTTGCAGTTTGCCGGCAGACAGCACCGGAGACATGCTCCCCTGGTGTCAGAATTTTCCCAGGTCGTGTGGATGCCCAAGAGGTCTTTTGCCCCCTTGCCTCACCTTAAGCTTCTGCGCCCGTCAATAGGGGGTGTTGTGGCGCAGCCGGGCCTAGGCACCCTTCAGGGAGGGACCATCCTTGGAGCCCCGGGTTCCCCTAGCACCCTTCAGGGAGGGACCATCCCTGGAGCCTCAGCTTTTGCGTCACCTGAGTCTGGAGCTCCTCGTGGCTCGCTTTTGCAGGATTGCTGTGAGGATTGGGTTCAGGTAGGGGTTCTTAGGAGTCCTTCTGCGTTTGTGGATGAGGCGAAGAAGGTGCCGCATCCAATGGACTCAGCCAATCCTTTGGAGGCTGTGACGCTCGCGGCCTTGAGGGAAAACCTCACTAAGGACCCAAAGCTGGTGGAATTGAAGCGACGACTTGCTCTGGCTAGGGTGAGACGTGAGGTGAGCAAATTCCGCGCTGAGGAGATAGCGCTTCACGAATCAATGCCACGCTCTGTGGCTAAGGTCATGGAGGGCAAGGCCATCCTTGCCCTTGAGGCTTTGTTGCAGGCGGAGGGATATGACGACTTGGGAGCTATCACCTTCCTTAAGGAGGGGGTACCTTTGGTGGGGGTCTCAGAGTGCCCTCCGTGCTTCGACTGCAAGCTTGTGCCCGCGGCTCTGACTGAAGCCGAACTCTTCCAGACTGCCCAGGTCAGACGGGAGGCGCTTTTGAGCAAGTCCGAGCCGATTGATGCTGAGGAGGCAAGAGTCTTGGCGGAGGCATCTCAAGAGGAGGTGTCGCTTGGCTTCCTTGAGGGGCCGTTTTACAGCAGGGACGAAGTCTCGTCCCGACTTGAGACAGAGAGCTGGACGGTGATACGCCGCTTCGTCATTTTTCAGGGCGCTGAGGGCAAAGCGCGCCCAATCGACAACTGCCTCGAAGCCCAACTTAACTCGGGGTATACATCTAGCATCCACTTGCGTTTACAAGACGGAGACTACCTGGCCGCCATGGCCCTGTTCGTTGCCCGCGAAATCACCGGGGGCAGGGCGCACCCCGAGGCGCAGGAGTGGCGCGGAAAGTGTCTTGATCTGAGCAAAGCGTATAAACAACTTGCAGTTCTTCCAGCCCACCGGCCTCTGGCAGTCATAGCAGTGCGGCAGGAGGATGGCCGTGACGCCCTGTACTTGTCAAACAGCTTGCTTTTTGGCAGTACCGCCGCAGTATATGCCTTTAACCGGGTGAGTCGCTGCTTGTGGTTCTTGATCAATCGACTGCTCTGGATACCTTCCGGAGTGTACTTTGACGACTACCCCCTGTTGTGTCCGGCGGCCACAGCCGAGAGTGCGGACTCGGTTGTGAGCGACTTCCTGGATTGCCTGGGGTGGCGTCACGCCAAAACTGGTGTGAAAGGCCGTGCGTTTGCTCCAAGCAGGGCAGCCCAAGGAGAGGTGAGCCTTGCTAACAAGCAGGGCCGAATTGAGCGCATTGTCGGCCAGCTTAAGGAGGTAGGCTCTAAGGGTGAGATTAGTAGGCAGCTTGCCCAGGTCCTGCAGGGTTTGTTGCAATGCGCTTCTGGCTTCTACGCTGGCAGGGCTTTGAAACACGCCTCGCATGTGCTGTCGCGTATTGTGGGTGGCCTGCACTTCAGCCCCCCTGACCTTAGGGACTTTTGCCATCATACCATACGCCTTTTGCAGGACGAGACCCCGCGAGTTTTGAAGTGCTTCATGACAACCGATGTCCTCCACCTTTGGACAGACGGCTCCTGGGAGTCAGGGGTAGCGGGCGTTGGACTTGCTGCTCACGACTGTTTCTCCGGTTCAGGTTGGGTCTTAGAGGGCCGAGTCCCGTCCGGGGTGCTTGAGCTGTGGAAAATCTGAGATCGGCGGGGATCAGTTAATTTGCGTAATCGAGATGTTCGCGATTCTTGCATCCATGATGGAATTGAGTTCCATCCTGGAGTCCCGAGGAGTAGTGTGGTGGGTGGACAACAACGCCACCCGCGGCCTCGTGATAAAAGGGGCCAGCAGAAGCTGGGCTATGCATACTCTTGCCCGAATCTTCTCCCAGTTGGACCAGAAGCACCCATCCATGTGGTGGGTATCACGAGTGCCTTCCTTTTCCAACCCAGGTGATGCGCCATCGCGAGGTCACGGCATCGAGGTCGTGACGATGGTGGGAGCATCTGAAGTCCAACCCTTCACCCGCTTGGAGGAGCTGGCGAAGAGGATCCTTGAGCTCAAGCGAGCCTGAACGTCATCGGGGGTTGTGGGGCTCCCTTGAAGGCCGCAGTGGCCCGACTGGGTGGAATATGCATGAGTTATTCCCATCGGGAGGTTGTAGGTGATTTTAAGTGATATATTCCGATTGAGTTCTAGATTGAGATGAGTTTTCTCCCATTGGATTCTATGTATGTTTGGGAATTGAGATACACCAAACCAGGAAACCCCCGAACCCAGAAAGAGGTAGTCCTCTTGAGCTTACTGTCGGATGCCCCATGCCACCTTCGAGGAAAACATGCCGTTGTGCTGTAGTTGGGAGTGCGCTGCAAATTTCTGATACTTCGTCATATTGACAGCACCAAGTTTTGACCAAGTTTTGATACATCTTAACTCGAAGGATGTTTGGAATTGATTGAACGATGCTTGAAACAGCAAAGAATTCAAGGCGCGCGTGCGTGCGCTCGCGCTCGTGAAGATGCGTTCCTCTGCTCGCAGTGGGGATGCTTGCTAATCGAGCGGTAACTTTTCAGAGTGAAAATAAGTCTTCCTCATCGACAACGTGTTGAATCCCGACATCATACGCGGAATATCCTCCTCCGCCAAGGCCTTCGTGGATTGTGTCGGTGCTGTTGGCTGCTCTGGAGTTACCATCCTGGAGGCCGAAACTCTTAAAGACTGAAAGACTTCATAATGCAAATGGACCTCCGGGCCGCTTTCATAAAAAGCCCTAAACCATGGAATGTCCTGGAGGTGAGTTCCAACGGCACGTGGGGCGTGGCTCAGACGATCGACGACAGCTCAAGCATTCTGAGTGTGAGCGGTGCCATTTCAGCGACCTCACTTTCTCTGGCGGACCCTTGGGGACCAAACGACCCTGTAAAGTAAGGGCTATATGCCCTAATGTTATCAATTCCTTCGCAGTAGTTGAGCCTTTTACTCCTTTAGGGCAAATTTCGTCCTGAGGAGTGGATCACAGCTGCCGGTTCGAACGATTATGGGACCGTCGGAAGGATTTTTGGATGCAATGTGACATCGACCTCGACAACCACAGTACCGACGCCTTATTATCGGCCTTACTATCGCACACGCTGCCCTCCCAGATGTCGTCGACACTATCTTCGACCGCCCGGGTTTTGGTGGAGATGCAGGGGCCTTTGTGGCTGGTGATTCGAACGTTGTCCGAGGCTCGCTTTGATAATCAGACCACCGCTGCTGCTAAACTACTAGTACTAGCAGTGGTACTAATGATAAGATAGTAATAAAAATAGCAATTGTAGTAGTAAGTGTACTGAATGTTTCTTCTCACCATGCTCCATGCTGAGCACTGCAACGGCATATCCTGCGCAATTGCGGCAGCTGCGAAAACAGATCCGAGCATGCCGCCTTTTTAGGGTTGGAGTAGTCGCTTAGGGTTTAAAGGGTTTAGTTTAGGGTTAAGGGCACTATCCCTTGATCGTCCCCATCGTCTAGCTATGTACCCTGACGATTCTGTGGAGCAGAGTCCGGACAGCTAGTGGAGTTTGTGAAGCAGCTGTGTTTGAAGACAGTTGAAGTGTTTAACGAGCCCAACGGAGAGAAGAGTTTGAAGACTTGTTTTGAGGCCAGTCCAAAGAAAGTCGAAGAGGGGTAACATCCTTTTGTAAATTCAAAAGCTGCAGCCGCCAATTGAAGGCACTTGTGAGCCCCGTCTCACTTGTGTATGTGGTCAAGGTACGAGTGAAGTCCAAATAGCAAGAAAGATAAAAGCGCGAGTGGTCGTTTGTTTAAAAAGAACCCGGTTTGTTCAATAAAGCTTCAAAAGTTGCAAGCGTTTCAAAAGCCTCAAATGGTTTACGAATTTCAGAAAGGTTAGCAATTTCAAAAAACGCTCCAACTTTGTAAAATTATAGAAGTTCTGAAAGCTTCACTGGACTCCACATTTCCGTTGGAACATGGAGTCTGGGGCCCAGGATTCCAGATTCCATACTGCAGATTCAATTTGGACAGAGTCTGGAATCTAAGCCCGCGGCTTAGATTCAGTGTGGAGTACGTGTGGAAATCTGAATTCGGGGCCGAGACTCCGGATTTAATCTGGATATGGAGTCTGGAGTCTGGAGTCTGGAGTCTGGGGCCTGCGGTGGGTTGGGGAACCAATGAAAAACCCGCAGACACCACCCGCTGGGCCACGCAGAGAGAATACCTCTGTGCAAGGAGACAAGGATACGCAGCTTCATCCTTGGTGGCAAAACGAACGCTTCCGCATTCAACGACCCTGCCCCACGGCTTATGAAGGTGATTTCCCGGCAGGAGGCTCGGAGCGATTCAAAGCACTCGGGGGAGCACAGCAGCTTGGTTCCCTCAGGCCTGGAGCCCATGGCAGCATTGATCAAAGCACACAGAAAGACAATATCTCAGCACTCTGTAGCCGAAGGCAGAAAGCCGATTTGCCGTATCAACCCGACGTGAGTCCACCGAGCCAGGTTGTAAGCTGGGCAGCCCCAGCGGGAACTCGCGGCTGCGCAGAGGAGACGGTCCTTTCGCTCCATTTGGCAAAGGTCTGCCCCGTGCCTTGCTGCTCGTCCCACATGGCAAGCCCAGATGCACGAGGAACGGCGGATGTTTCTCCATCATCTCCCAGAACAAGCTTTGCCCGGCTTCAGTGGACAAGTCAAGCTGAGCTAAAGGCACACAAGAGTCACAGTGGTGATGGTCAAAGCTGTGCACGTGAAAACCTATCCGGCCCAAGGCACGGGACAACGAGCCCTTCCCAGCAAACAACTCAAAGGCGCAAGGAGGCCATTGTCTGTGATGTCTCAAGCGGGAAGGGGACCTCAGGGGGTAGCAGGAATCCTAAGCTCCGCGCCATAGCCAGCTCTGCTTCATCAAAGTCCCCGAGCTGCTGAACTACCCAGGTTACCAAAACCAGCCTATTGCCAGTCCAAGGTTCAGTCTGATGGTAGGTTGACCACGCATCGAAAACTAAAGGCTCGGAAGTAAGCTCATGCACGCTGCCACTCAACTCCAGCTGACAAGAAACCCTCACGTCGTCTCCCGGTCCCTCAAGCCACAATCCTCCGCCCTGCCTTATGAAGAGGGGTCGCACTGTTCGAAAAGAAACCACAAGTGGAGAACACATGACCGGGAAGACGCTCCTTGACGAAGCGGGTCATAATTTGGCTTGCAAACGGAAAAGTGTGACACTCCTTGCGCAGCCCCCGAAAACCCCCTTGGGCATAGCAACCAGTCACGAAAGCACTTCGCACCTCACGCGAACCTCCTCGCACCTCATCCTTCGGAAGCAAACCGAAGAGCGTCTGAAGGTCGGACTCCGAGATCTGCGCAGCACTCTTCAAACGTGCTTGTGCCCAAACCTCGGCATCCGCTAAGGACAGATCCCCAGTTTCCAGCGCGCCACAATTTACCCCTCCAGAGTCCGGCGCATCCTCTGGGGGGCCCCATCACGAACCCCCCTTTGGGCAATTGGCAAAAGAGTGATTTCCAAAACATCCCTTACGCCAGCACTTCTGGAACCCCTTGATGCACCTGCCGTTCTTGCACTTGTTCCCTTGTTCCTGCAACCTTGCGTGTTGTATGCAAAACACAGTGGACGGTTGGCTTCGTCCTTAGTTGCAAGATCAAGTGTCTTGCCAGCGCCTTTCCCTTTCCTTTCCTTGCCCGCGCCCTTTCCTCCCTTGTTCCCAGGCCTCCCCCCATGTAGGAGCTGGGGCGGTGCAGGATGCTGCAGGGGGCCAAGTTACTGCTTCTGCTAGACTACGACGACGACGACGACGACGACGACGACGACGCCGGCGGCGGCGGCGGCGGCGGCGACGACGACGACGACGACGACGACGACGACGACGACGACGACGACGACGACCACGACGACCACGACGACCACGACGACCACGACGACCACCACGACGACCACGACGACGACCACGACGACGACCACGACGACGACGACGACGACCACGACGACCACCACGACGACCACCACGACGACGACCACGACGACGACCGACGACGACGACGACGACGACGACGACGACGACGACGACGACGACCACGACGACTACCACGACGACGACGACGACCACGACGACCACGACGACGACGACACGACGACGACGACACGACGACGACGACGACCACGACGACGACACGACGACCACGACGACCACGACGACGACCACGACGACCACGACGACCACGACGACGTCACGACGGTCACGACGACCACGACGACCACGACGACCACGACGACCACGACGACCACGACGACCACGACGACCACGACGACCACGACGACCACGACGACCACGACCACGACGACGACCACGACGACCACGACGACAACGACGACAACGACGACAACGACGACAGCGACGACCACGACGACGACCACGACGACGACCACGACGACGACCACGACGACGACCACGACGACGACCACGACGACGACCACGACGACGACCACGACGACGACGACACGACCACGACGACCACGACGACGACGACGACGACGACGACCACGACGACGACGACGACGACGACGACGACGACGACCGACGACGACGACGACGACGACGACGACGACGACCACGACCACCACGACCACCACGACGACCACGACGACCACGACGACCACGACGACCACGACGACCACGACGACCACGACGACCACGACGACCACGACGACCACGACGACCCACGACGACCACGACGACCACGACGACCACGACGACCACGACGACCACGACGACCACGACGACCACGACGACCACGACGACCACGACGACCACGACGACCACGACGACCACGACGACCACGACGACCACGACGACCACGACGACCACGACGACCACGACGACCACGACGACCACGACGACCACGACGACCACGACGACCACGACGACCACGACGACCACGACGACCACGACGACCACGACGACCACGACGACCACGACGACCACGACGACCACGACGACCACGACGACCACGACAACGACGACAACGACGACGACGACGACGACGACAGCGACGACAACG